ATTATAGCGTTTTGGAAAGCTCTCGAGGTAAGCTACAAGAATATGCATTGAAAAATGGGGGTTTCCATTTAAGAAATTAAAGGTGACCTTCACGTGATCTTCAAACGACTATCCAAGGTCAAACCAATGACACCATCTTATGTGCCCCTCGAAGTCACAAAACTTTTGTCTGAAACATTTTTCTTTAAAATGTCGCGTTTACGAAAAAATCGGGTGAGACGGGTGGTCTGGAACACCCTGTATATCCAATAATACGACATACGATATCCAATAGAAGATCTCAATTCTCTATTGGAAATCAGTTTTCCTATTGAATATCATATGCCGTATGTCCCCTCACAGCATTGAACATAATAATTAAATTATAGGGAAGTTACAATCTTATACATTTTAATGAGAATGTTACTTGTATATATTAACCTTATAATATAACCTTACATTATAATATTATTGGAAAGTTAATGGAATCTTATTTCAATATTTCGGCAACCTTACATATCAACTTGTATATGACTTGGGTTTTATTTTGGTCAGGGTTTACATAGAGAAAAAATTCACCAATTCATTCATTGGCACAGGGTTTACATAGAGAAAAAATTCTTTAAATTACGTATTCCTGTTTGTTTTATTTTAATTTCCTTATATTCGTTTCCAATTAATTTATTAGTCTTGAAGTTTTCGCCGCCATTAATACAATCTACTTGCGTTGCTTTCGCAGGTATGCCGCGTCTTAAATTAGTGTTCTGCTAACGTTTCGCAAACATTGCAGTTTGCATCATCAGGACTTGGAGCTCTGATACTGAGCCCTCTTGAATATTGGTTGTCCTTATATGCTGCATTATCCCTGAGAGTAGGTGAGGGAGCAAAAGAGGAGAGTTTGGGGTTCCGGGTTTTTTTAATCAGCTGATCAATAAAAACACGCTGATTGGCTGGAAACAAACCTTCTACTTTTGGTCCCCTCTTCTCCTCCTAGGGATAACGCAGCATATAAGGACGACCAAAATTCAAGAGAGCAATATCAGAGCTCCAAGCCCTGATGATGCAAACTGTAATGTTTGCGAAACGTTGGCACAACGCTGATTTAAAACGCGGTATATCTCCGGAAGCAACGCAAATTAATTTATTGTTTGGAATAACCATTTTAACACTTGGTTAAGGACCTAAGAGCAA